TGAGTGTTCCCCCGCTAATACCATAAAAAAGGGTTAACTCCATCAAAGCAAAGCATGCACAAACATTAATACCATAAATGTGAATGTTATAGTCCATAACATTCACATTTTCATATCATTTAATATGCATTATTTAATATTACAATCCATAAATACTCACATAATTAAAGACTATAAACATTCATATCTAAATGACCTATAAAATTTATGAATAGAGGAATCATAATGCATTAACCAAGAATCAATAATAATTTATACAAAATGCTTTAAAAGTGGTACAAAAATGATATTATAACTTAAAAGTATGAGTATGCACTTAATCACTAATAATTCTCTAGTCAATTATTTTCTTCACTTAACTCCAATGAAAACTTATAGTCAAATACATAAAGAATTATTATTATTTTTTTATAAGTTAATCTTATTATTAAAAATAATTTATCTTTATCTTACATTTTAAGTATGATATAAAAATAATTATTGTTATGTTAATAGTCATCTTCATGTCACAATACAACTTTAACTATTTCTTTCTTTCAAACAAAATAAAAAATAAAATTTTGACAATAAAATGTTGATGCTCCAGATTTTACTGAGTGCGAATTAGCAGAAAAGATTAATTTAACTTTCTAGTTATCTTATATAGTTTATATCTTCTCAATTAATCTTTAAAATTTATATAAATAAACATACATTTATATTATGCAAGAATTTTTTATTATGATTATTTTATTCACATTTAATTCATTAATTGTAACATTAGTTCCTACATTTAAATTTTTTTATTTATTATTTTTTTAATTTGTGTAAAATATAGATTAATATTTTAATATAAACATAATTTCACAAAAAAAACTTAAAAATACTAACAAACCAAACCGTAAGCTTACCTCAAAGGTTCAAACATTCAGTTCAATCTTCCCTGCTCGCGTGTGTAAGTCCACCTCTCCTCTCCTTTAGTTCGATTCAATCTCCTGCACAAAAGCAAACCCACAAGCCTTCACCTCCTCTCCTCTTCTTCTTCCTTATTCCTCTTTCTACTCGATGCTCCTCTTCATTCGCATCGAACAAAATCAAGCCTTCCGTATACGAGAAATAAGCACCTCGCTGTTGACAATTCTATTTTGAACGAACATGTATTATTATTATTATTTTTTTCAATTAATTAAAATTTTAAAATAGGCTATTATACTTATATTTTCTAACAGTTAATGCATTTGCACAATGATTCATACATTAAAAATATAGCATAGGGAATCCTGCAATTTGATATAGTTCTTATAAGGTCCAAGGTAATAAACATGCTAAAAAATCATTATGAAATTTTCTAGGGATTGCTGTTAATGTTAATATTTTCTTTTTTCTTTTCTTTTTTTTTTGTCGCAAGGAAACTTTTCATATTTTTTGGGCATATTTATATGCTATAGTTTTAAGAATTTCTTTATTATTTTAATATTTTTCAATTTTTTCAATAAAGTAAATAATAAATACCTATTTTCTGGACATGGTCAAATTTGATGTGTGAAGATGCAAAGTCATTGGAGAGGAAAATAGATGAAATCTCAACTAGGAATTAGTTTGCATGCCTTTCATTGTTTATTTATTTAGTGTCTGCCCTGTAAATTGCGTTGCATGGTGATGCATTATTCTCATTCATTTTTGTTCACAATCTTGTGTTCAGGGGCATGTCTAATAATTTTTTTTCTTTGCCTCCTCTTTTTTTATAACTTCTATATAAATTTCATAAGCAATTTCAACTCATCCCCACAAGAGGATTGTAGAAATAAGCCATCGGTTTGTACCAATAAATATGTTTTGAACATGATGCATTGGTTAACAAGACCTTTGAAAATCCAACACATCATTAAATGTGCGAAAGAGCATATCTAATAAAAATCACCAAAGGAATTGTTGGTGTTGACTTAACTAAAATCTACCAATAAATGTGTTCTACTGGTGCGATAAAAAGATGTGAGTAGGTTGCAAAGTAAATGCTCAAAATCTTTCTCATTTTGAGCATGTCACATGGAAGTGATCGTGAGTAAGAGCAAGGTAGTGAGCAAAGGAGAGGAAGATAGACATAAATATAGAGGGAAGGTGGAACTCAAGCAGTACTTGATTGGAGAGGGAGAAAGAGAATGCAAGGTAAAAAAAAGTAACATTTTTATAAATTTTTAATGAAATTGTGGCTTTGGTTGGCCTCCTATATGCAGTGACCAATGCTTTAGGAATGGCAATTGTTGCCCGTCACACTTCTTCAACTAGAGGGCCCACGTGCCTCATTAATTTTAATAGTCAACCCAAATTTATGGCAAAAAATAAAGAATGCATGCTCGAAGTATCGCGAGGTGGCCGATGATTAGGGCTATCAAAAAAGCTCGCTGTTCGCGAACAGTTCGCATTCGGCTCGTTAAGTAGCTCGTGTTCGGCTCGTTCGTTAAATAAATGAGCCGAACAAGAACAAATTTTTAAAGCTCGAATTATAAACGAGCCAAACACGAACAGCTCCTTGTTCGCTCGTGTTCAGCTCGTTTTAGCTCGAAATAAAAAAATTATATAATTATTTATATAACAATATATTACATATATTATTTATATAATAATATATTATATATATTTATGTCTAAGTTTAAATCATAACACCTCATGTGGCAATGTGGTTAGTGCATTCTTTTGTATATATTTGATCCAGGTTAGAATCTCACACTTTACATCTATTTTTCTCAATCCAATTTTGAGCCGAACACAAACATGAATATTTTAATCGAGCCGAACACGAACACACTGTTCACGAGCCGATTTCGAACACGAGCCGATTTCGAACATGAGCTATTTTGAACTAGCCGAGCACGAGCCCAGCCTGAGCTCGCTCAAGCTCGACTCGTTTACAGCCCTACCGATGATGCCTCAATGACCTAATATTTTTTTAGTATTAAAGGTGTATCATTTCACCCTCTTTTCAAACCTAGCCTCTTGTTGTCGTAGGGAAGAAATTTTTAAAAGCGTATTAATCCAAAATGTTTTAAAAAGAAAGAAACTTTCAGAAAAAAATTTAAAAGAGGTAAAAATGGTATTTATATACCAATTCTAACCATTCAAAGGTCAAAATCGGCATATAAATACCGATTTTGTCCACCTATTTTTTAAATTTTTTTTTCTAGATTTTAGTTTAAAATATTTTTGTAAATTTAATGTGATTAATATTTCAACTATTTTTTATATTTAATTTTGTATATATGATTGCATGCATGTCCAATAATGGAGAAGGTATCAAATATGCCAAATTGTCAGCGGCCTGGCATTTGAAGACATAGACAACACAAAAGACTTCGTTTCTAATTACCAATAAGTAATTTGACCAGTTTTTATCTTAAAATGTTATATTTTGATGTTAATTATTATTTTAATTTTAAATTGTATTACAATGTACTATTTTTCTAATAAAAATATGTAGATTTTAATATAGAAAATTGATGTGGCATCATAATATATTTAATTTAATATGCTAACTACCGCAATAATTTTAATATATAAATTAAATTTATTATGATACCACAATATTTTTTATATCAAAATCTAAATATCTTTTATAAGAGAATACTACATTATAATACTTTAAAATTAAAATAATAATCAATATCAAAATATAACAGTTTTAAAATAAAAGAGGGTCTCATTAATTACTCGTAGTTAGAAACAAAGTCTTTTATAATATCCATTTCTTCAAGCACATGCGACGAAAGCTTGGTCTCTGGCACTTTGACCTACATGATCCCTTCATCATCATTAGACATGCAATCATATATAAAAAAATAATTAAAATAATCATATTATTAAATTTACAAAAATATTTTAAACTAAAACCTAGAAAATAAATAAATTTGGAAAAAATTGTTATTTATATACCAATTTATCAGTATATAAATACCAAATTTGCCACTTTTGAAAAAAAAATTTCGAACATCCTTTCTTTTTAAAATACTTTTCATTACTACAATTTTAAAAATTTCAACTTGTCGTAGGTGACTTCACTTACTTTCTTTTAAGGATTTGTTATTATATATTATATATATGATACTCATATAAATAAGTAAATAAATATTGTTATTATACATATGCATAAATACATAAATTTTAATGTTAAAAAAATTATAAATATTAATATTGCATATGTAATTATTTTTGAAAATATGCATGTGTACACTCCTTGAATAAAATCCAACTTTCATGTGGTGATAATTTTCTTATTCGTAACTTCTCAGTATGGGAGAATCTTTCAGACCATTGTGGCATCTTGGACAGATCAAGATGACCCATTTATGTAATAAGCAACATATTTAGTGCACAGCGAGTCAATTTTCATGAAGACAGCAATCCTCGTTCAATATCATGATATTCAATTTGGCGATTGATGGATTACATATAGAGGTCTCCAGCAACTTAGTAATTATCTCACAGACACACACTCAAATGATAATAATAATAATAATAATAATAATAATAATAATAATAATAATAATAATAATAATAATAATAATAATAATAATAATAATAATAATAATAATAATAATAATAATAATAATAATAATATATTTTGGCATCGATAATACTATGTGAGGTGCAATTAGTGTTGAATGATTTGCATTAAGCTTATTTTCGAAGCCTCTACGCAAAGATAATGATATTTCGCAAATTAATGAAAAGTATAGGTCATAAAAACAATGCTACAAAAAAAAGATTATTCCAGCAGAAGCAAAGTATTAATAAATTCAAATCGTAAATATATAAGAAATAACTCACGGTATCTACACAAACCATTTTCAGTATCATTCATGTAAATCTTTCTAAGTGCACTGTGGAAGTTGTAATCAGGTACAAAAAAATATGGTGCATATGTATGTGAGTATAGAGGGATGGGTGTGTGGGAGGGAGACTACGGTTGTTGGGAATGTTATAACAAGGAAAAGCAAGTATTTTGTGATGTTCCACATAGTTTGTACCTTCTGGCAAAGATATCCCCTACTTCCAAGCAATCTGCACGCTATCTGTCGAGCAGAAAAAAATTGAAGCTTTTCTTCTGATTTAGTTAGAGATTGGTACACTTCCCTATGTTTTATATCTTCCTGAATCCTAAAGTTTCCCTGCAAATGTCAACATTAGAAAAAGAATTTCAAAAGTTAAATGAATTTGTTTAAGGAAAAATAAGGAATTTAACAACCACAATCCCTGCTATCAATCCCAACTCTTTCAATGTTAGAAAATAATTCAAATTCAGCTATACATCAGCAACAATTAGCGTAACATCTTTCTCCAATTCAACAAGCACAACATAGCGGCCAAATGAATTGGAATTATCCATTAACTTTCATTGCTAAAGCCAATCATTAAATACTAATTCAATAATCTAATAAAATCAGCACAACACAAGTGACGCGCTACAATGAGAAACACTAAAGAAAGGCAATTCAGATAAACTTTATACATCAGTAATGAATCAAAGAGATCAGACAACACATCAGCATTAGGAGCACATTCTATGTGGCAATTCATCTGAAGTATAAATATGGGTTCAGGGAGTTCGGTTCAAAATTAAGTTGGGATTTTCCATGTCCGAACCTTGATACCAAACAGCCACTATGTTTCTAATCGTGCAAGGCAGTTTACTCTTCTGAATAGATGGATGAATTAATTTATCCAGATAGCTAACCTAACCTGCCTAATCAGCCTTATTCCTCCTGATCCCTAGAAATGTCTCCTATTTGTGAAGGGGCAAGCATGAACTTCACATTCTATATGGCAAAGTTGAAGTCAGATGATACCAAACTACGGATTTTCCTATCCCTATTTAATCATTAACATTGGCAGATTTCAACATTACTAATATTCCGTTTACGCTAAAAGTGGATATCGAACCAAAGAGACTGGGATCATATGAAAGCAACCAACGACAAGAAATGAAAAACCGCTCCTGATTCGCGTTTCTGCATAAGTCCGTAAGGTTTCAGTTCATTTCCTGCGAAGCCGACCGCAAAGTGAATGATAAATGAGTCTTCCGTCCAGAAGTCTCATTACATCTACCATTTCTTATTTCCAACGATCACATCAACAAATCCTCCTAATAAATCAACAACCCGTCATTCTAAAGTCAATCAAAGATTACGTAGTTTTCTAAAGGGCATAAAGATGATAAAGAATATAAAAATAATAGGAGAATCGTAAACCTGAAGCTTTCCGCCGAGTCCGCCGAAGCACATTCGGGTATCGGCGTCCCTTTCCAGGGCAAGTAAGTCGTCGATGACTTGGTTCACCATGGCTGGGACGGGAGAAGAAGTGCCCCATCCCTGCCACTCCGTTAAGCTCACCTCCTGCTCTCTCTCGTTCAAACGCGGTTCCGCGCCTCGTGTCGCGGCCATCGGAGGAACCAAAGCGATTCCGGCAAGTCGCGGCTTTGTTCTTGAGCTATATGCGGGGGGCAAATCGCTGAGGCAACGCGACGCGAGTAGGCGAGCCGGGTGCGCGTGCATGGCTAAGAATTGTAATCGGAAGGAACGCACAAAACTCGAGTCATGGTATATATTATTTGGGAATAATGAAGCATTCTGGCCATTATAAAGAAAAAAAAATATTATGTGGAGTTGGAATGTAGATTTACATTCCTACTTTAGTAGCATATTATATATTTCTACATTCCAACTTCCACGCACTATATATAGCCAATAATCGGCATCCATATATAAAACAAATTCAATTTTAGCACAGTGCTACATTGACAATCTACAATGGACCCCGACCTCGCTTGAAACAAATTAGCACAAGTGGGGGCACGAAAACTTTGACGACATATTATATTCGAGGTTTATTCTTCAATGAAGAAAACCTCTTGAAAATTTATTTTCAAAATATCAAAAATATCAAAGAGAAAGAAAGAAGATGTGACAAATAATTGATGGAGTGATGACCTTGACAATGAAAAGACAATAAAGTACTAATAAGAATAAAATAGCAATGAATTTAGTTGTCGATGTTAATGGTTTAAACTCATCGGTAAATTTATATCACAAATCTTATATGTAACTCTTAATATGTCCATATCACATTTTTTTAATGTGTAGAGTTACTTTTGTTTAATATTTTAATATTTTCTTCAATGAACTTTGTCTTTTAGGCACGAGGGTATAAAGATGAGGCAAACCTATTTTTCAAGAAAAGTCCTTACCTACTTCTCAAGAAAAAACCATATGCAGTACTCTAGTTTTATTTTAAATAATGTTTTAAGCTATTTTAATCATATTTTTTGTCGCATATTGATCTATTTCAATAAATTTTGTTGTTTAAGTATGAGAGTACGAAGAGGGTACAAAAATAATTTTTAATAAAATCTTACATGATGCTTTATAATTATTTTAAACAATATATAAAGCTATTTGAATCATTTGATTTCATATACTTATGATTTTCCAATGAACTTTATTTTAAATAATATATTATGCTATTTGAATTATATTTTGTCCTATATATTGCCACTTTTTCTATGAACTTTTCCCTAATAGGCATGAGAATGTAAACTTTAATCAATAAGACTTTATGTACTTCTCTAGAATTATTTTAAACAATATTATACCTTTGTCCTATATATTGCCACTTTTTCTATGAACTTTGCCCTAATAGGCATGAGAAGGTAAACTTTAATCAATAAGACTTTATGTAGTTCTCTAGAATTATTTTAAACAATATTATACAATTTTAAAGAAACTTGGTTCCATATATTGATGTTTTTTCAATGAAGTTTGCCTAATAGGTATGGGAGTACAAAGAGAGAATAAAGAAACCACAATATTTTTTTCAATGAAAAATCTTATGTAATGCTCTAGAAATGTTTTAAACAATATATTATATTGTTTTAAGCGGGTTTGATTTTATATATTGGTGGTTTTTCAATGAAGTTTGTCATATATCATGAAGGTATAAAGAGAGTACAAATTTTTTTTTCAATAAAACTCTTATGTTGTGCTCTAGAATTATTTTAAATAATATATAATACTATTTTCATCATGTTTTGTTTCATGTGATGATAGTTATCTAATGAACTTTATCTTTTAAGTGTGAGAGTAAATAGAAAGTACAAATTTTTTTCAATAAAAATCTTATGTATTGCTTTGGAATTGTTTTAAATAATAAAAAAATATTATTTGAGTTATATTTTGTTTCATCTATTGATGACTTTTGAATGAACTTTTTCTTATAGGCTTGAGGGTACAGAAATAGTACAATTTTTTTCAACAAAAATCTTATGAAGCACTCTAGAAGGCTTTTAAAAAGTATATATACCATTCTAATCGAGTTTTGTTCTATATATTGATGGTTTTTCAATGAAATTTTGTTTTATATGCATGAGAGTATATATAGAATATAAAAAAAATTTCACCAAAAAACTTTGATCTATATTTATTTTAAACAATGTATTATACTATTTTAAGTATGTTTGGTTTCATGTATTGATGATTTTCCAATAAACTTTTTATTATTGGCATGAGGGTATAAAGACTATGCAAATCGAGCAAAATAAATTTTTCATTAAAAATCTTATGTGGTATTCTAGAATTGTTTCAAATAATGTATTATGTTATTTTAAGCAAGTTTGGTTCCTTATATTGATGGATTTTTTAATGAACTTTGCTTAATCAACATCATATAAAAATGGTATGAAAATCTTTCATTTTTTAATGAACTTTGCTTAATCAACATCATATAGTATGAAAAATCTTTTTAAAAGAAATTGTATGTAGTCTTCTTTTTTTAAAGCACTTTTTATTCCATTTATTGATGATTTTGTTAAAGATTTGTGCTCAATCAGCATGAGGGTATAAATAATGTAAAAAGAGGGTACAAATTTATTTTTAAGGAAACAAATTTATGTAGTCATCTATTTTTATTTTAAATAATGTATTTTGCTTATTTAACATCTTTTACTCCATTTTTTTTATGGTGTTTCAATGAATTGTGTTGAATTAGCTTGAGGGTACAAAGAGTATATAAAAATGGTACAAACTATCTATCAAAATAAAACTTTATATAATAATTTATTTTTTTTTAACATTGTATTATACTTTTATGTATGTTTTATTCCATGTTTTGATGGATTGTCTATGATAAGCATAGAAAGAGAGTATAAGTCTATTTTTCAATAAAATAGTTATATTGGTCACTCTGTTTTTTAGATAATGTAATTTATTATTTAAAGTGTTTGACGTCAAACATATTTTTTTATATAAGTGCATACCTATGAGCCATGTGATATGGGTGATAAACCAATCTGAAATTAAATTGAATATGTTGTAGACAGTATGTTTGACATAATTGTTTACAATGAGATGAGATATGATTTGTACTATAGTTTTTCACATCAAAATAAATTGAGTGTTTAAAAGGATCATGTTTGTTATTGACCAAATTTAAGGAATATAAAATCAAAAGACTTTTTATGTGTTAAAATTGGTTTTAAAAGAGGCATAATCTTAATAACAAAGTTAAGTTTAAATAATTAGATACCAACAATGGTTGTTTAGCCATGATTTGATATAATGTTAATTTAATTCAGTGAGAATATAAATTTATTTTAACTATGAATGATTTAGTCTAGAAATTTTAAATTTAATTCTTCTAAATAAACATCTCAACCACAAAAAAGAAAAAAAAAACTTATATTAATTCTTCTAAATAAACATCTCAACCACAAAAAAAAAAAACTTATGCGTGATAATATAAATTTTGATTGATAAATTGACCAAAACTTCGCTTAGAATGGAGAAATAACAAAACTTAAAAAACTCTAATTTGTCATCAAAACTGAAAAACTGAGGAATCAAATAAAACACTACTTAATTATTAAACCCAATAAAAACATTAAAAATAACCAACTCAAAATCTTTTATAACCGCACCCTAGGATAATAGGATAATAAATGTAGTCAAAAACCAAGGACCACACACATATCCTAGATTAGTCCAGTCAAGAATCCCTAAGTTAGTTGACTAGGTACCCAATAGATATTTTCTAAGGACTAGGAAATATAAATAATTAAAACTACCTCCTCAGATTATGTGGGTGCGTTAGGATGAAGTAACTCATGCTTACCAACCAACACACCCTAACCACTATATAGCGGGGCACTCAACCTTTGCCACTATTATGGTGATAAGGACGAACTTCGATTACACAGTTGGTTAAAGATTTGAGTATATCAATGTACCGGGAACATTAGAACGCCATGAGCATCTTGACCGGGTATGTTATTCCCAAAATTTTGGTTAGTCCACCTATTAGTTTCTCCAATAGTTGAGTTTAAGGCTTCATTGCTATCTAGAAATATCTCTAGCCTATGTTCCATTTAGACTAGGATTCTCTTTAAAATCAACTCACTTGTCCCTCAATCCATATTTAATTTCACCCAAATTTCAAAGTTTCAATTTCAAGCCCCAGCTTCAAACTCAATTTAAACTCTAACCCTGGAACCTTACCCTGATTTCAAGGTATCATAAAGAGAAACAACCAATGAAAGTGCATCCTAAAACTTTGAAACAATAGCAATACGGACCACAATAATACCAGCTTCAACAATAACAACGATGATTAAAATAACCCCATAAGCCTAAACAAAAGAAGAAATTTAAATATAATTTTGAAGAAGAAAGAATCATGCTTATTTTCTTAAATATGTGGCCATATAAAAGATGATCAAGGAATTGTTAAAGAAACAAGATTTCAAGCTTTCTGAACCTCACAAGCCTGAAGAAGTGAGAAGGAGCAGTGAACCAGAAAACTGTTCATTCCATAGATCTCTTAAGCACACAATTGAAAAATGTTTCACTTTTAAGGACTCGCTGGTGATGGATGCCGCCACTTCCACTATGGGAGGGGATTCATCATCGTTAATCCAGTTGCTCAATTTGATCTACGTGTTATCGTTGATCATCATCATCGTGATTGATGTCATGGTTGGGTGGAGTCACCATTTTGTTTTCCATCGTAAAACCTCACTCTGTGAATAACTCTCTCTCTCTCTGATATTGTAGATGATCTGAAGAGAGAAGAGATCGGAGGGCTAAGTTAGACAATAACTGGAACAAATAAAGAAACATGTGGGGAAGCACCAAAGTTATTGATCCCTCTTGATACTTTTATTATGCAAAGTACAACAATAATTCAGATTATATTTCACTTATATTTCTTTATTTTACAACAAAACTAAAAACTTGATCCTGAAGAAAAATAAGAATTTCACTTTTAATTTTTATATATTGGGATACTACGCAAGTATACGTATTGTTATCAAGTAATATAAGACTTGTTTTATTAAGACCTGAATATCGAACCCATAGGGGAATTTATACAATATGCACTTTTATAAAACTTTCTATTTTTAAAAAGATAATTACTCAAACTTAAACCGAATATATTTTGCAGTAATAAAATTTCAAATATTTTTGGTTTTTTTGATATTTCGACAAAATAGTAACAACTTAAAAAGATGACTAGAGTTTTGTAGATGAAAAGCACTTAATAAGAAAAATATCTTTTTTTATCATGAATCAGTAATAAGTATAGAAATTCTGTTGTGGAAGTATGCAA